GCCCCGAAGAGATCATTTCCATTTCAGTGAAATTCCAAAGGGTCAACCCGGCTGGCTGAATGGCCAGCAACCTCAGCAGCAAATTAAAATATACCCCTTAAATTCGTCACGAAAATCCCAAAAAAAAAACTTTGAGTAGAGTCAATGGCCTCTGGTTGTGCCATTGTAGTTGGGTGTCATTTCTGTTGACTCTGTTGTTTCCAGATGGGTTCAGGATTTTTTTTCGTTTTTTTTGAAATTGTAACCGCACAACAACACACACAGTGTCACACATTTACACTGAACTACAAAAGTGTAACCAGGTTAGCTGGGAAAATGGCAACACCACCACCAACAACAGCAACAACAACAAAGTATGCTATCATGTTTTTAACTCTGTACAAACATTCTAAACTTTTTTTTGCTTTTGATGAGTCTCCATGTGGGTTGACTTCGTTTTTTTGCGTTGTGTTGTTGCTGGGCTAAGTGCGGGACAAATGAGTTGCACGTCACACAAACATCAGAGATGGCTTACAAATTTACATACACTTGTACTTTTTTATATATTTGTCCCATTGACTGTCTGTCTGCCTGCTCATGTCACCAGATCCTTGCTAACATTTGTATAACATTTTTGCTGCTGTTGTTGTTATTTTTTTTTTTTTTTTGCTATAGCAAATAACCATCATCTATAGAGACCTGCTTGCCGAACAAGACTATGTATGCGTGTACATTTTGACACCATTACCCTTTTCAGCCAGAATCATCATATAGAGCCGTTGTTGTTAGTTTTGTTCAGCTTTGCTTTTTTGAGGACAACTCTTGATGTTACAACCACACACAGCAAGCAAGCAAGCAAAAAAATGAAGCCGAAAACAAAATCTCTCTTTTGTTGTATTCAAGTTAAATTCCAATTGGAACATTAAATGTTTTACACACTCACATACATACACACACACGGATATACACTTTCAGTTTATCCTCTAAAGAGGAAGCTCTTCAATTCAATTAACAAAGACACAGTGAGTTGTTGGGGGCATTATGGTTTAGAAATGTCCTGACTTGCTGGTGTCTGAATGAGATTTGAATTTTCCTGGTGTTTTTTGTTTCGTTTTTTTTCAAAATTTTTTAAACGCATGTTAACAAAATTGTGTGTGCGTGGGTGTTAATGAGTTTAAAGTGATATTTTGTTGGGCTATATCCACACTACATTAAGGGATTTAATTGGAAAATAAAAATGGGATTGGGTTTTGGAAGACTAAAGTTGAAGTTAATTAATTTTCTTTGTTGGTTATTTTTGAATTTTTATGACAATTACTCTTAGAATGTTTATGAAATATTACTCTCAGAAGCATATTTTAGATTTAGATTTACTTATTTGAGAGAATTTATGATTTTTAGTTACTTTTTTGGTATTTTGTGCGTGGCGCCCAACGTGGGGTTCCATAGAGAATTCCGAAATGTTCATTTGAAGTAAATATTTTCTTATAAAAATTTCTTAAGCCAATTGTCGAATATATGTATATATTTTTTCCCAAATTTGAAATTTTGCTAAATGGCGCCCAACCTGAGGTAGCATAAAAAAAATTATTAGACATTTAAATGTATATTTTCTAATTTGCGAATTGGCTAATTTGCAAATTGGCTAGGATATTTATTTTAAATAAATGGCACCAAACCTGAGGTCGTTCCAAAAATTATTGAAATGTATATTTTCTTAAAAAAATTTCTAACATTTGTCTTAAATGCATATTTTCTGAGTGTTACTAGTTCCACATTGCAAATCGGTTAGGATATTTTTTTTTTAATAAATGGCGCCCAACCTGAGGTAATATAAAAATGCATTGGATATTCAAATGTAAATTTTCTTAATAAAAAATTCGAAATATTTGTATTAAATGCATATTTTCTAAGTGTCACTCTTTCCATATTGCAAATCGGATAGGATTTTTATTTTTGATAAATGGCGCCCAACGTGGGGCTACTGCTAAATGTTATTTATTAACAAAATTAAATGTTTTATAGGTTAGATTGAACCAAAGAGTAATGAATAATAGAATCTCCATGGTAAATTAAAATGTAAATGCATTTTTGTATTTTAATATGAGGCGCCCATCACGGGGCCGTATAAAGAATTTATTTTTTTATTTTTTTATTTATTTATTTAGTATTTATTTCAAATTACAGTTTTCTTATATAAAGAGAAGTAATGAAGCAAATATTCAAAGATATTATTAATTTTGTTAGTTTTTTTTTTTTGTGAATGGCGCCCAACGTGGCGTTCGATAAAATTTTCCGGAATATTCATTCTAGAAATATACATTTTAAATTACTAATTTCTTATATAAATGGAAATGATTAAGCAAATATTTAAAGATATTTTCAATTATGTTCGTTTTTTGTGAATGGCGCCCAATGTGGGGCCCATCAAAATTTTCCGAAATATTCATTCTACACGCTTATTTTTCAAATCTATTGTGAGAATTCATGATTTCTAATTTTTGAGCCTGGTATGCTGAATCCCTTAGCCGGTTTTAAACTTTCCACAGAGAATAAAAACCTGCTTGAAAACGACGTACCCATCATATGAAGGTCCTAAAGCGATTTTAGTTATTTTGAATGTCCACCTCGTGGTGGAGAGAGAGAGAGATCTGTAGGGGAGAAAAGGGGGGAAAGAAAGGATAAGAAGCTAACAAGGAGTATTAGGAGTAAGGTGGGAATAGTTTCGATGGCTATAGAAATTGGACAAAATTGCACTTTCCCAACCGCTTTAGGTTTCTAATGATGCTGTAGATTAAAGCAGGTTCCATAGGTGAAAAGAAGCTAAGAGACGGTGGAAAGTGAGCACCCACTAGTCTGTGCCGTACGTAGGCCAAAACTGGGCAGCGACACAGGAGATGCTCAATTGTCTCCGTCTCCTCCTCGTCAGCACAGAGTTTGCAGTAATCAGTAACATCATGGTCCCATTTACTGGTATTGCTATGACCAGTAATGACTCCTGTCATTACTCCAACTTCAGCAGGTTCAGCAGTGAGTTTGTTCTCTTGGTTGACAGAGTCTGCCAGATAGTTCTTGACACATTGGTTTTTTCAAAGTTCTACTATAACTTTAATCAATTGTTTTCCAAATGGGAATTTTAATTTCTTTTAGTAATATTCGAAAACTCCGGAGTTTTTGTAAAATCGTTCAAAGATTCTTTTAGGTCTATTACAGCTGTAATCCAATGTTTTCCTTATAGGGATTTAATTTTTATTATTATTTGTATATATATTTGTATTTAATATCATGTCCTTCTTTTTTCTTCTCCTCCAATTAATTATCTCATTAATTAGTTTTCAATATCGCATAAATATCCTCGCAAAGCAAAACTTTGCTAATAAAAAACTTCCTAACCTTATATGTCCCAAGTTCTACTAAACTAAGAATTGTTTTAACTTTTTTCCCAACATTAATAGCTTAATTTTTATTGTGGCAAATAAAAATCTGCTCTTATAGAGTAAAAAAAAAAATATCCTTGCCAATTTTTGCTGTTGTATTTGTATTTGTATTTCTATTTTATTATCTTAACTTTTTTTAGATATCGAATTGGCAGGATTACTTGAAGTTTATATTACTGTACTTTAATGACTTTTAAGCGGCAGCAGAAGCATCGGAATTTTAGTTATAGTTTCCTTTTAAGTTTCTACTGTCGTTCGTCCCTTATGCTTCCTCGAAGCATTTAATCTTCTCAATCTTTAATTAACAACAAAAAATGGCACTGTCACAATGTCGCTATTTCACAATATGATGACAACAACAACAAACAATTATAAACATATACGTATATAGTGTGTGTTTACTTATTTACACTTGAGCGGAGAAGTGTGTAACATAAGTAAACAAAGTTTTGAAGACAATATCGCAAATTTTTTGAAAGCCTTTTTAAGAGAAATTTCTTTTGTATTCTATATAAAGTAGAGTCCTTTTTGTCGCATGTCCTCTTTTTGGAATATTTTTTGTTCACATGCGGTATACTTTTATTATCCACTGTGTACACACACTGTTTAAAAATAATGTATCCCACCTATATATATATGAAGTTGCATTTAATAAGGCCTTTAATGTGACGTTATTAAAACTTGAGATAATTATTTGAGCACACAAACACACACATAGTTAGTTTGGTTCCTATAATAATATGAAGGTGGGTGCTCAGGACTTCGAAAAATATTTAAAAAATATATATATATATATATATTATTGAAATTCCGATCCATTACAATTGGGATTTTTTATAAAGGATAGGTGTATACAATTTCTGACACAGGCAAAAACCTGTTAAGTAGCTGACGCATGAAACAGCTGGTTAGTGTCAAAAAAACAGTGAATACGTTTAGTGAAGACCCATTATACATTTTCACCAATCGAAATCAGAGAATTAAATGTCAAAAATTTGGACGTTATTTACGTTTTCATAGAATAATTCACAATAAAGAATTTTTGACAGCAAACTTGAGAAGCATCTGGTTTGCAGCTGATCTCAACTTTTCTGTCAAATGCCATTATTACAAAGTGCCTTAAAATGTAAAAACGCCCTACTTTTTTAAATTAATCCTGAAAAAACAGCTGTGTTTTCTGTTTCTAGCTTGATCTTAGGACAATCAGCCGTTCTCAAGTTTGCTGTCAAATTTACATTATCAAAATGTAAAAACGGCCACATTTTTGACAATTATATAGAGAAAAACAGCTGTTTTTCGTTTCTAGGTTTGCATTGAACTAGACGAATAATTAATTCCGTTTTTTTTTTCTATTTCAAAGCCATAACCCATATTAATATTCATAATTTCTGCCGGAAACTGTTAGTTTGTCTGCCTTTCTCCCACTCCTCCTCCTTCATTTTAATATTAAAATTTGTTTGTTTATGTGAAACTTTCCGCCATCATCATCGAGAATATTTATTAAAACTAATTAAACTAAGAAACAAAATTTCCTTTTTCTTTTTAATGAATACCATCGACATAATCCCCTTCTTTTTCTTACAGACTGAAGCCATTAAAAATGATCTCGAAACAAAAATGCTTCAACATCGCATCGAGGCACAAATCGAAAAAGTCCAATACAATCAAACGGCCGTAATGCTACTAATTGAGACATGCGGTCTGGTACGTGAGAATACCTCACGTGCGGTCACAAGTTTGGATAATATGGTGCTGTATTTTATGAAGACCAAAGGTAGTGAAAATGATACATCGCTAATGGGTCTGCTGCATGTAAGTATTTGGGGGAAATTCAAATTTTATTTATTTCCTTTTATTAAATATTTTTTATTTTCTTTCTTTATAGTTGGGTGAACTTTACGAATCGATACGATGGCCCGCCACTTTGGGATTTCTCACCATCCTGCTATTGTTGTGTACAGTCTTGGTTATAGGTGTGGCCAGACGTTCGCGCTGTGCTTTGATATTCTTTAGTGTGGCTGGCCTGTTTTGTATTATTTTATGCTGGCTCTTGGCCGGCGTTTATCTGGCCTCGTCGGTGGCGGCTGGCGATTTTTGCATGCGTCCCCATGAGTATATGTGTCGGCAGGTGGGCATGGTAAGTAACATAATTAAATGAAATAGTTCAAAAAAATTATTCAAAGTCCAAATTTTTGACAGTCCTTTCAATCAACGATTGAAGGTTATCCGGCAAGCGAAAGTGAGCTGCAATTCTTATAATAAGTTCATCAAGGGAGGTCAGCTGGATATCAGCTGTATCTCAAGTTTGCTGTCAAAATCCATTATTGTGAATTAACTTTCACTATGAAAACTTAAAGTCCAAATTGTTTACAGTAGTCTTGACAACAAATGATGGCATTATTAATAGATCTTTAACTGGCTCCTATTGCTCCATTCAATGAACGATTGGTAGATCAGCTGCACATCAGCTGATGCTCATGTTTGCTGTAAAAATATATTATTGTGAATTGACTTCCATTATGAAAACGTAAACAAAGTTCAAAATTTTGACGTTAGACTTCAGAAAAAACAGCTGACTTTTGCTAGTTGGTGATCTTATTAATAGATCTTGACTCTGTATACTTTTTGATAATGAAAGTCAATTCACAATAATGGATTTTGACAGTAAACATGAGAAGCAGCTGATTTCCAGCTGGTCTGCCTGGATAACTGCTACAGACATTTAAATATAAAATATTCCTTAAATTTAAAAAAAAATAATTTGGGAAGGGAGTACTAAAGAGACGTCAAAACCTCAATTTTCTGTCACATGAAACTTTTCCCTCTCCCTCTTGATTACATTCACCCCCAAAAAACAAATTCCCGCTTTCCATGGGGGATTTCTTATTAACAACAACTTTTCAATTTGAAACATCAAACTCCTAGTCGGGCATTTTAACTCAACTAGTTTCGTTTTTTCTATTTTGCCAAACCTTCAACTCCTAATGGAATCAACCAAAAAACGAGGGGAGTAACAATCAACCACACACACAACTTTTTTAGGTTAGGTTATGTTTCAAATGGAATTTGTCCTGCTGGCTGAATACCAACCAAGCAAACGGCCATCCCGCCAGTCAGTTAGCTGGCTTATGGCCAATAAACATAACCAACATGCTGTAAATTGCACAAATGTTGTTACCAAAAAAAAAACAGAAAAAATTACGAGAAAAAACTTCGGCGTTAGGGTTTTACAATTTTGTTCGGAACAAAACTGTGAAACTCCCATTTGTCCAAGCCCAAAGCAAACTGCATTTTATTTTCTCGGTGTGTGACCATTTCATAGACAAGATTTTTTAGTGATGGTGGTGGTTGTGATAATGTGCAGTTAGCATTTTAATATGCTGGCTGGCTGGTTGCTAGGCCACAGAACCAAGAGGGAAAACCCGAAGAACAAGCATTTGGCAAATGTTTGTTAACAAAACTTTTGCAAACAAATCTTCTAAGACTTAGCAACAAAAACAGAAACAACAACAAAAAAGAATTATTGAAAAATTTTGAAACTTTTTTTTCACGATTATTTTGTTTTCCATTTTTCAGCGAAGTCCTTACGTCTATTTCCTTAACTGTGGAACTTTGCGTAATCGTTTTATTTTACGCCTAAATGAATCTCGAGATTTGGTGGAACGGGCCAGAGAATCTGTCTCTTTAATACAAAGGTAAGGCATATATAAAAATCCCCCATTTTATATTAAAAATTAAATCCAAATTTTACTGTTATTTGCAGAATGAGCCAGGAAACCTATCCCCGCATTGATATACACAAAACCCTACAAGCCATGGACAATGATTTGGAGGAAACCAAACGCAATCTCACCGTTTTATCAGCCACTTTGGATAGGCGGGCCATTGATCGCCATTACTCTGAGGCCTTAAAGGGTCTGTGTGGTGGCGGTCTATTGGGTCTGAGTCTCATGATGGTGGCCGGTTTGCTTACCTCATTTTTATTCACCATATTGGTGTATGCTGATTCCCATGCCTGGATATATTTAAGCAAGAGGAGGTAGTTTACACATTTTTTTATATTTTTTACAATTTTTTAATCATCATTTTTTCTCTCTTTTTTCTCCTCACCATAGACCCTCTCTCGATGCGGATAAATCCGAAACCGCTCCTTTGTTCCCCTCAAATGCACCAAGTGCCAATATCTCACCCACAGCACCGGCCCATCACACTGGCACCTTGAATCGTACCCTGCTGCATCATCAACAGGCCCATGGCATGGGTGTGGGCTCCAGTGGTACACTGGGTGCAGCGACACGCAGCAATGGCACCGCCAATGGACTGAGAACAGGGTTCGCATCATACAACACTCATCACAATGCTCATCATAAAACTAACACTATACAGGGTGGCGGCGTGGGCAGTGGTGGCAAATCATCGCCCTCACCGCCGCCGCACTATGATGTTGTGGTGCATGGCACAAGGCATGGCTTTTATTAAGTTTTTCATTTCATTTTTTTAATTTTATTTTGATTTTAATTTTTTTGGTAACCTTTTTTAATGGATTATGTGGAATATTTTTTTTTATTTGGAATAGCCAATAGGCAGGTGTACTTAAAATATAATCCCACAATTTTACAGAGGATTACAAAATTGACATTACTGGTTATGTTGCAGTGAATATAGGTTAGGATTTTTTTATTAAAAAAAACTTTGGTAGATTTCAGTCTTCCGAATGAAAAAAAAACAGTTAAAACTGTTTTACAGAAATTGCTGTATTTTTTATTAAGAGTGTGGATGAATACGATTTAATGGCTTAGAGGTTAATTTTTTTAGGTTAGGTTGAATACTATTGAAGATTTCGATAATTTTGAAATAAATTCATTAAAAAAAGGGCCAAGGCCTATAAATAAGGTCATCCACGGAGACCAGCTGCTGGATATAATATGCCGTTCAAGTTTGCTGTCAAAATCCATTATTGTGAATTGACTTCCATAACAAAAGTGTAAACAAAGTCTTAATTTTTGACATTAGACTTGAGAAAAAGAAACAGCTGACTTTCGCTACCTTGGTGGCCTTATTAATAGATCATGTTTTGGGCTATTTAGCTCCTTTAGGTTATGTTGCAGTTAATATAGGTTAGGATTCCTTTTTATTATAAAAATTGGTACATTTCAGTTTTCCGAGTGAAAAAAAAACTAAATTAAAACTATGTTACAGAAATGTAATGCTGTAATTTTTTATTATGAGTTTGGGCTATTTAGCTCTTTTAGGTTAGGATGAAAAATATTATAGATTTAAATTTTCCAAATAGATTTATGTATGTAAGCGTCTTGTCCAAATGGATTAGTATTTTTTAAGACAGATATAGCTTCCTTGAGGCCAATAGGTCCCAGGGAACATAAGAGAACCTTATTTCGATGAGGATTTTAAAACTATTTCCTTGTGAGGTTGTAAGCTCTTTTGAGGTTAGGTTGAAAAATATTATGGATGTAAGCTTTCCAAATGGATGGGTGTGTTTTAAATCTCCTTGAAATCAATAGATCCCAGAGAAAATTATAGTACCAGCTGGCATTTTTTATTTATTAGAAAATCAGAAAATACCTTCATGGTCTAAGTATAGACACAATATTAAGATTTTACTTTCAACTTAACCTAACATTTAAGGTTTTTATAATAAAACGTGCAGCTAGTAGTAAATTTACCTGTGACATATTGGATTTATGGAATATCAGTATCTAAATTTACTTACTGAAAATAAAATGAAATTAACCACAAAAAAATGTACTCTTCAAATTTAAAACTCATTTTGTTACTCAAATTTTATGAGTATATATTACTCCTAGCGAAATTCGATGTAGAATTTTTTTGTTTCCATTGGCATAAACTTCGTCAATTCAAGTGTTGTGGAAATACGATCGATTTCCTGAAAACCAGGCGATGTTAACCTAAAAACTCCTGTGGTAACAACCACATTATTCAAATTATTTTTTATGTTTTTCATGATATATAGAGAACATCACAGACATCTTTTGTTTGGAGACAAATAGTGAAATTTTCTGTAGAATATTTCTTCCTTTGACAGCAACCCTATTATCAAAAGTTTTGTAGAAAATATGACCCGATTTCCCGACATAACTTTAAAATAACCTCAAAAATGTGTCATTGTTTTTATACCGAATTTGCAAGCAATATTTCCTTGATATCTACCATACCTATCGATTTTTCTTCTTTAGAGAGTTTTAATGAAATTCGATGTAGATTATTTGCTCTATTTGGGGGAAACACTTAAAATGAGGTTATTGGGACCAAATTATGCTATTTTAAAAATACTGAGAAATTAACCTGAAAATCATTAGTTTTGGTTTTTTCTTTTTGTATATTTTTATTTTCCAACATTTCGAGAGTCTTCGGCAATCATCTTTAGGGAAATTGTTAAGAAAACCAAGCGATTCACCGTTCAAAAAGTTATCGACATTATCTTTATAACTGTTATGTCTACTGGTTTGTTGATTCGAAGATTTACATATAATGAAATTAATTGTAGATTATTTTCTCCATAGGTAATAGTATTCTACAATAAAGGATTTAGGAAAAAGTCTAGCAAATTAGGCTTTGTAGAATACCCTGATGGTGTAGACTTTGTTGGTGTAAAACATCTTCTTCGGATCTCTTTTACATAGGAAATATGAGCAAATAAGCCTTTGTAGAATACTCTGGTGGTGTAAAAACGCCTTCATTGCAACTGTTTTGCATTTTTTCCCAAAAGAGCTAAACATTTTTCAACTTAGGGTATTAAATATAAAATCCCCATACACCTCAGAGCCATTTTTTTAATAAATTTGTGGCCTTAAATATTTAAAAAAATATATTTAAATATTTTAATTTCCAATAGAATTAGATCTGTTTCTTTAGATCTGTTTAAAGGGTAACTGCCAAAAAATATATTTTCATATAACCAAGAATGAGCTTTTTCCAATATATTGGAATTTGTGGCCTTAAATATTAAAAAAAAAATATGTTATCATTGTAATTTTTTAAATATTTAAATATTTTTTTTCCAATAAATTACTTAAACTCAACTTGTTAATTTCAATATCTACTCTCTTGACGAGTAATAATCCTTTTAATTGTTAAATATCCTAGAATGACTTCATTTAATTTTCTGTTTGATTTTTTTCAATTTATGCTCCATTAAGTTGAGTTCTGCTTATTTGTTATTGCAACAACAAGAATTTTTATTTTCGTAACTGGAATGTATATGCATTTATGTGTGTATGTATATAAATATATATATTCCCCACAATAACACAAACAAAATATTGCTATGCAAATACCTTTTGCTCAAGTCGATAAATATTTATTTAACCGCCACCACCACGAGTAGGCACACTTTCATTTCGGTAACCTCATAACTCCCAGGCAAGAAAGTATCAGCATTAACATCAGCATCATCATCATCAGCCAAAAAGCCCGCCATTCATTCATACATTATTTAACACGCACACACAAACAGACACCTACAATACCACCAGTAGCACCTCAGCACCTAGATATATATTGAAATACAAAAAAATTGAGATGAGAAAAAAAATAACAATATTGAGGTGGCAACAAATACATATTACATTACAAATGTTTAAACTCAAACACACACACCCTGATATATACATATACACATATTCATAATGTTATAAAGTTGAATGGCAGAAATTCAATCCCAAACCAAGCAACCACCCACCCACAGCATCATCAGCCACCCAACCATCTGATCCATAAGCACCATTTAATCCAGGCCTTTTGATATGCACAAGTTTACATACACGTGACCCAATAAAATGTCACACACACATACATGCATACATATGTATTATTTTGCACATGTTATTAAAGTTAACATTTTAATTGTCCATTTTATTGTCCTTATATATTTTTTGTTTACACATAACCTCAAATATATATTCATACATACATATATAGAGAGAGAGAATAATAAACACTGCTTTTTTGTGGTACTTAAATTTTAATTTTGGTTTTTTTTATTATTTTTTTAATTTTTTTGCTTTAGTAGGGTTTTTTATTATTTTTTGTAGATGAAAAGGGATTCCAAAACATAACCTCAAAACTACATAAATCCATTATTTGTGCTATTTAAGATTTTCTAAATTGAAATTAATATTTTTTCCTTTTCCCTTCCCCAACAGATCTTCCTCCGGCCATCACACACTGGGACGCTTGCCCTCCCATCAACAATCCAATTATTTAGCGGGACCCAACAACGGCAAATATGCCACCCTCAGCAAACAATGTAAGACTTTGGAAGCCAACGATTTTTACTGAGATTCGCTTGCCTGCAATTCCAATGCAGGCAGTAGCAGTATTCGACTTAACAGCATCACCACATCCACCATCAATGGGTTGGGAAGAAATTCCATTAAGAGTATGTTCGCCTCGGCCACATTGCCGCGCTCGGCCGGCTCTTCGCTGCGTTCAGTGCTGTCGGCTCAAACCACAAACACCGTGTGTCGTTCCACCGGCAATGGTCTTGATTTGGACGATGACAAAGATCCGCGGGATGTTTCGAATAATAGCTTTAATCGTTTCGATCCCAAATACATTAGCATTGGTCCCAAGGCGGTCAGGGGCAATAATAATTTGAATGTTTTGGCTGCGGCCACGGCAAACAAGTGTGCCACTCTGGGTCGCCCACATGGTGTCCGTTATGGTGGTTCATTGCGTGGCACTAGTCCATCGCCGAATTTGCGCAGTGCCAAGACACCATCGATAGCGACCGTCTCAAAAGATTATTGTCCCCAGCCGGATTGTATACCGCAGTCGTATAATGTCAATGCCACAGATGTGATTGTGCCGCCATCGCAGACAGCACAGCCGCCACCACCACCACTGCCGCCGCCCAAGCCGAAGAATACGTTTACGGAAATACCGGGCACTACAGGGGTGGGCAGTATCTATGCCAAAGAACAGCAATTGCAGCAGCAACAGCAAATGCAATTGCAACAGCAACAACAGCAGCAATATCAATTACAGGAAATCCAAGCGGTGCCGGCCACGCCCACAGTCCAACAAAGACCATTGCCAGTGCAGCATCATCCACCGACGACCCACATTTTGCCACCGTCAGCCGTCTACAGCATTGAAAGTTCAACATACCAGCAGCAGCAACAACAGCTACAACAACAGCAGCAGCAACAACAACAACTTCAACAGCAGCAACAACACCAACAACAACTTCAGCAGCAGCAAAAACAATTACAACAACAGCTACAGCAAGAACAAACCCAAGCCGTACCACCACCTCCACCACCCACACAAACCATACCCTCACGACCATTGCCTCCCCAACCCTCCTCCTCCGCAGCCAATACAACTCCCCTGCTACCCTTACCACGTTCCCTCAATCCCAATTCCATAGTAAATCAACCCTTGCCAGATATACCCACTCAGACACCCCAGCCACCATCGAAAATTTCACCCCAGCCTTTGTGTGCAGCCAATCTGAATCAATACCGGTCTCTGCAGCGACCTCAACAATCCAAACTACAACTACAGACCCCCTCTCAGCAACAACAACTTCAGCCGCCTAGTTTGCCACCCAAAAATCGCCACAAAAGCCGCGGCGAACATTCCAATCAAATGCAACAAACCTTGCCCCCCAAATCCAGTAGCCTAAGGCAACAACAAAGTGCCCCCATTATTTCTTATGAACCCGATCGGGAGCGTGAACGAGAACGGGAACGTCGTGATCGTGAACGTGACAAACACGAACGTATACGACGTTCCGAAACCTTGGATAATGCTCGAACAAATGCCGCCTACATGGACTCACATGGCAAAAAGCAACATTCTTATGATAGTGGTCAAGCACCGCCCAGTTATCGGCACACAGCGGCGGGACCGGCCACCACACCCAACAACAATTTCCATCACAGCAGCAGCAATCTCTCCGCGAAGCAACAACAGCAGCTGCAACAACAACAATTGCTTGCCGAGGCCCAACATCAACAGCAAATGTATTATCGATCGCTGAAACGCGGCGGATCCCAGGCCAACAACGACATGTACTCGGTGACGGAATTGTAGGAATGCGCCTGCTGCGGCGGAGGTGTAGATGTTGTGAGGCGCACCAAGTGCACCACAACATCCACCACCTCTGCCGTAGCGTTGGCAAATAGTCCCTGTGCCGCCCCCATTCCCCTACCGCCCAAAAAGCATCAACGTTCCTCATCGAGTGGGCGAGAGCCACGCGAATCGACCGTAGCCTACAATGCCAATAAATGTGATGAACATGAATACGACGAGTATTGTCCGGGTGCCTATGAGCCGCAACACCATGCGCCTTCGGTGCAGCCCCAATCGATGTCCAGCCGGGCTCCACAGCATATATCCACCTCCTCAAGTTCCACAACCACCAAATATCAACAAAGATCGGCCACGTTTGATGTGGCCGATGCCAGGGATTATGAGCTGAAACGTCTGGGCAATAGGCGTTCCCAATCCCAGCAGGCCAATAATTTGAAATTGAATCGTAATGGTGGTATGCTAACGACGGGTGGGGAGCATCATCGTGGTGAGCGTAGTCATGATCGTGAGAGGAGTCGTAGTGATCATCGTATTGCCTCATATGCCTGTGACGACCATGGTGGCTATCCCAGTGGTAGTATGGGTAATGGTGGCCATCATCATCACCATCAACAGCAGCAGCAACACCAACAGCGTCAACAGCAACGTCGTGAAAAAACGTTTAAAGTATGATTTTTAGAGACGTCATAAAAATTTAGCCCCACTGCCGAGGGGTCACCAAATGATGCTGGAAAGCGAGTGCAAACCATCTACGTGGCCACATGGTAAATGAGAGCCAACGGCCAGGGAAAATTAGGAATTAACGAACGAATGAATGAATGGTTTGTCTTAAAATTTGGTGGCTTGGAAAAGGTAACCAAAGTGGTGGCGGCAAATAGGAGCGGTTTCCTCATAATAATAATGATGATGATAAGAATATGACCTTAAAAATTTGTCACAACCAAACCAAAAATTGCTAAGTTAAGCAAAACTGAAAATTGGCTGTCTTCTGAACAAAAGGTGCTGCATGTATGGACTCCCCCTTTCTTTTGAGATTCAAATCAAAGGCGAAATCCCATAACTATATATGTTGGCTTCTGAACCCCCCCAAAATAATTTGTTAAACCTCCCTCCTGCTGAACCAAAACAAAAAAAAAATGCTGTTTAAAACTGAAAAAAATGTTAGCTAGCTGCTGAATGTTGTTAATTTGATGCTGCCAGAGGAGCTGTGAAAGAAATCAAGAAAACGTACGACATCGTAATTAAGTGTAATATTTTTTAGAGTGTATTTTGTTAAAGTTTGTCGAAATCTTAGCATAACTCTACTCTCTCTATATCTCTCTTTCTCAGTTTTTGTGTGTTTTTATCGTAAAAAGAATTAATTAATTGTTAGTAGAACAATGAAACCAATAATGTAGTGGAGTTACAATTGTGACAACCAACCAACATCATTCAAACAATCAGTCATTCATTCATTTACATAAAACAGCTAGGGATAATAGGGTCTGAATGTAAGAGATAATTGATCACACAACAAGTAATGTTTAAAAATTTTTATGAAGAAAGGGTTTTTATTTGAAAAATGTTAAAAAATAAAAGTAAACATAAATGAATTTGTTGTGTGGCCAGTTAGCTTAAGCATTTCATGGTCGTTATTACACAAGCAATTGTTTAAGAGTCGCACAGGGAAAATTCAATTGAGTTTAGATTTGCCTTAACCACTTGATTTCAAATGTCAATTTTATAACGTATATGTTAAATTAAATCCTGTAGATTTATGATGGGGATTTATTTGACGTATACGCTGTGGAAATGGCATTTGAAATTATGTGGATTTCGTAAAACTAAACACACTTCAATATTCCATGTGCAACTCTTAAACAACTGGGTGTGTAATAACGGCCATTAAATGCCTAAAGCAAACTGGCCACACAAAAAATTCATTTATGTTTATGTTCACTTTTATTTTTTTTTTTTAATAAAACCCATTTTAATTAAAATTTATAAAATAATATTTGTTGTGTGATCAATTTGCGGGTTTTAAATGGAGGTAATCTTAATCAGTGGGTTAAAATAAAGAGAGTAAGAGCGCGTTTAGACTACTAAATCCACTCCATTTCAAACGCCAATTTCATAGTGTATATGCCACATTAATTCTGCTCACGAATCCAGTGGATTATATTTGACGTAGAAGCTATGGAATTGATATTTGAGATCGAATGGATTTTGTAAATTCAACGCATTTTAATTGCGCTCTTTCTCTCTCCTTTTTTTCTTTGATTTATCTTCCCATGTGTAAACTCCTAAACCCAGTATAAACCTAGCTGTAAACCACAAACTTTCAAAGAAACTAACAAACAGAAAATACAACACTGTCTTTACACAAAATATACTTCTAAAAAAACAACAACACAAATAATATATACAAGAGATATTAAAAGAAACCACCAAAAATATTCTTTATTAGAATCAAGGCCAATTGAAAAGGTCACCAAGTAAGATCAGCTGTTTCCCAAGTTAACTGTCGAAATTCGTTATTGTGAATTGAATTTCCAATATAAAATTAATAAAATAACTATGTAACTCTCAAATAGTTATGCAAAATGTTATTCGAAAAATTATTTGACATTAAACAACTGTTTTTTGAATATGAAATTTACAAAAAATGAATAAAATAATTATTGTGAATGGAATTCTCAATTAAAAAATTACAAACAATGAATAAAATAACTATGTAATTCTCAAATAATTAAGCAAAATTTTATTCGAAAAAGTAATTGACATTAAACAGCTGTTTTTCTTGGCTAACTTGAAGAAGCCTTGATTGTAATCTCTCTTTTAAATGATAAACGTTTTCGTGCTCACACCTTTAAAACTCTGGTTATATTTTACTCTGCAATGATGCAATGCTGTAATAATTTCTTCCCCCTCTCTCTCACACAAACACACTCTCTTTTGAGCTCACACACATGAACCCATGTATTATTATTATTCTGATGGATTTGATGTTACTATTAAGTTAAATGTTGCCATTTGCTTATAAAAAAACAAACTATTTTTATTATTATTTATTTTAAGTATTGTGTTAATTTATGATATTTTATTTGATAATTTACACAAACGATAAGATAATATATTGTAAAAAATTAATTAAAAATAGGGAAAGGGAAAAGTCATATGGCTGTCATATGTTAATAGGTGATATGGCCACACATTAAATTTATTTAAATAACTTTTTTCCTTTCCCTATGTAATTTTTTACAGTATAGCAACTTATCCCAAAACCACATATTATTTTATTATTTAATTATAATTTGTTATATAAAATTAAAAAAGAAAAAAATCACAAAAAAACTCTAATTTAGCAAAAATCAAAAACATGCCAGATTAAACAACAACAAAAAAATAATTTACACCACACACCAAACAAAAATGGAAATTGGAAGCATTTATCAAAAAAAGGAACTAAACAAAATTCAAAAAATTATTATTATGAATACCGTTGCGAAATGTCAAAGTCAAAAACAAACAATTTTTGTGACGTCTATAAAAAAACCAACAGTAAACAAAACAACAACCAAATTACTAAACAAAAACACCATCAAAACAAACATACATATATATAGGAAAACATTACAAATTATGACCAGCTAAGAAGAAGAAAATGTGTTTTTTTACTCGAAATAAAAATAATCAAACAAAGTTCAATTTTATGTTAATAGTTAGATATAAATGCATAAAACTGTAAATAGTAATTATATATAATTTAAGTATAGTATGTATACACTGATATTGTAAATATTTCTTCTAAATTTAATATAAAACTATAAAAATTGGAAACAAATTAAACACACTTTTTTGAATTTTTTTTTTCAAATATTGCGAAGAATTTTTTTTTTTAAATAATTCGGCTGTGTTTCTAGGCTTTGTTTGCGACCTACTTTAAAAGGCTTATATTAAATTAGGCATTTCCTAAACAAAAATATATAAACATCTGATGGTGTTTACACGAATTTATAACAGCTGATTGGCATAAAGTATTAGGCCGAATTTACACATAACGTCATGTATTTAACGTAAATACAATAGAAATGACAACTTAAATGTCGATTACATTATGATATATCATAAAATACGTTCGGTGTAAATATGGCCTAAAGCGGTATACACACTATCACTTTTGAGTGGCAGTTTTTTATCAACCATGAATATTTCAACCAAAATTTTGCATGAATGTCATTCAAAAGTGATAGTATGTACACCGCCTAAGAATAAATATATTCCAAATAATAGAGAAGAATTTTATAGATTATTATGTCCAGTTTTTTATTTCATGATTTGATAAATCTCGTGTTTTAAACTGTCAATTCTATTCAATCGTAAAAAGAAAAGTATTATTAAAAGGATTCAAACTGTCGTTATCACTATTTCTTCCTCGGAATGACGAGTAAATGAAGAATTCTGTGAGATGCCATGAATTCTATAAATTCAATTTTTTAAATAATTCTACTTCCATTCACATTGCATGTCTTTTTTGGGTGTTAGGCTTTCTATAAGATTTATGACTACTTCCAACTGAAAATAGTTTTTGTGCAAAGTAATTTGCCATGCTATGTACATATAACTTTGTTTGATTCCGAAAATTTCAGTGAATTTAAATTAAGGACCCTTCTAAAAAATAAAGAACTTCAAAACATGCTAAGACTTAGCATAAGGGGATATGTGCAAGCCATTTTACGGATATTTTGTTATTGAGAGATCGCTGAAAGTTCCCCAGTGAAAAGAAAATCCGTCTGATGACTTCATATTCACAGTTAAGGGGTTTTTATTTTGAAAATGTTGTATTTACATCCTTTTTTGCAGTCGACTTCATATTTATAATAAATCTACGATTTTTGCTGATAAAGAAGTCATTATTCATGTCGCCAATGAATAAAATCTGGCAATATATCTTTTAAATATGGAAAACCTTGTGTAAACTTTCTATAAGCAGATTAAATTTTGAATGCGTCAGCTGATGATGGAATCAGCTGTTTTCTATGAAACCAAGAACTTTAAAAAAACAAAACTTAAATAAGTTTATTATAAAACTTGTTTCTTCAACTATTAATAGTTATATGCATTTATATTTAAAAATATATATACATACATATAAATACGTATTATACATAATAATATAAATACACATAAACAAATGAATCATATATACATTCTATATATATACATACAAAATATATATATATATATATATATAAACGAAATGTCC